AAAAAAAAAAAAAAAAAAAAAAATCAGTAACTAATTGAGTCTCAGTTCACATTCTCAAGAGAGAATCTGATTGGTCCAACCTGAATCCTATGTCCACTAGCCATGGCTGGAGGGGTGGGGTGTGCAGCATAAAGGTGGCTTTTAGGGACCCACTCACTCTCTGGCTGGTCAGGTAGTTCCTAGAAAAATCAGACTCGGGGACCGGGCACAGTAGCTCACACCTGTAATCCCAGCACTTTGGGAGGCTAAGACGGGTGGATCATGAGGTCAGGAGTTTGAGACCAGCCTGACCAACACAGTGAAACTCCATCTCTACTAAAAATACAAAAATTAGCTAGGCGTGGTGACCTGTGCCTGTAATCGCAGCTCCTCGGGAGGCTGAGGCAGGAGAAATCACAACCTGAGAAGCGGAGGTTGCAGTGAGCTGAGATCGTGCCACTGCACTCCAGCCTGGGCGACAGAGCAAGACTCCGTAAAAAAGAAAAGAAAAGAAAAGAAAAATCAGACTGGGCAGAGATGCCAGCAATCATCCTTAACTGTGAGGTTATTTCCTTTTTGGAAAATCCAGTACCAAATTCACAAAAAGTCCTTCCTGGTACTAAAATACCATGATGAACATTCTATTGACTTCAATGGGTTATTCCTCATTCAGCTTTGAACTCCCCTGAGGAGCAGCCTGTCTCCTCAATCCATGGCTGCTTCTGTAGGTAAAAAAAAAAAAAAAAAAAAAAAAAAGTCTTGAAAAGCAACCAATTCTCCTAGTGCAAGAAAATCTTTGCATATCATTACATATGTTAAAGGTAGATGGATGGCCAGGCGTGGCAGCCCATTCCTGTAATTCTAGCACTTTGGGAGGCTGATGTGGAAGGTTAGCTTGAGACCAGCCTAGGCAGCATAGCAACACCTTGTCTCTACAAAAAATACAAAAGTTAGCCCAGTGTGGTGGTGGTGCATGCCTCTAATCCCAGCTGCTTGGGAGACTGAGATGGGAGGATCACTTGAGCCCAGGATGTTAAGGCTGCAGTGAGCTGTGATCAGACCACTGCACTCCAGCCTGGGCAACAGAGCAAGACCCTGTCTTTTTTTAAAAAAAAAAAAAAAGTGGATTGAGGGTAGGAAAAAGCCAGGCTAAGGAGGGACTGAAGAAGAAAGATACAGAATGCTCAAATGTTAGGGGCGTGTACCAACTGGTATTAGCCAGAAACTTGAATCATGGCCCTGAAAGGTCTAATACGAGTCAGTGCAAAACAAGAATTCGACTTACAAAAGTGTGATTTATACAGTTTTTTGCATGTCTAAAACATCACTGGAGTCAGTAGAGTTCCTGCCTAATTCCCCCATTCAGTCACCTTAAGCATTGACTCAACTCCTGGTGTTGAACAGAACTAATGGGAAAAGGAACCCATGTAAATGACAGAGGGAAACAGAAATGATAGAAGATTTGAGATTTATTTTTTTTAATTTCTTTTTTTTTTATTTTGAGGCAGAGTTTTGCTCTTGTTGCCCAGGCTGGCGTGCGATGGCATGACCTTGGCTCTCCGCAACCTCTGCCTCCTGGGTTCAAGCAATTCTCCTGCCTCAGCCTCCTGAGTAGCAGGGATTATAGGCACGTGCCACTACACCCAGCTAATTTTTTGTATTTTTAGTAGAGATAGGGTTTCTCCATGTTGGTCAGGCTGGTCTCAAACTCCCGACCTCAGGTGATCAGCCTGTCCTGGCCTCCCAAAGTACTGGGATTACAGAAGTGAGCCACTGTGCCAGGCCTATTTTAAAATTTTTATTATTTTTGAGGTAGAGTCTCACTCTGGCGTCAGGTGGGAGTGCAGTGGCGCCATCTCAGCTCACTGCAACTTCCGCTTCTCAGATTCAAGCAGTTCTTGTGCCTCAGCCTCCTGAGTAGCTGGAATTACAGGCATGCACTACCATGACCAGCTAATTTTTATATATTTTGTAGAGATGGGGGTTTCATCATGTTGGCCAGGCTGGTCTCGAACTCCTGGTCTCAGCTGATCCTCCTGCCTTGGCCTCCCCAAGTGCTGGGAATACACACGTGAACCATCGCAACCGCTAGCCACTGAGACATGCCCTATTTTTAATAAATTTTTAAAATATTATGACTGGGCGCAGTGGCTCACACCTGTAATCCCAGCACTGTGGAAGGCCGAGGTGGGTGGATCACCTGAGGTCAGGAGTTCAAGGCTAGCCTGGCCGACATGGGGAAACCGTGTTTCTACTAAAAAATACAAAAAATAACCAGGCATGGTGGCCAGCACCTGTAATTCCAGCTACCTGGGAGGCTGAGGCAGGAGAATCACTTGAAGCCAGGAGGCGGAGGTTACAGTGAGCCGAAATTGTGCCACTGCACTGCAGCCTTGGCGACAAGAGTGAAAGGTCTGTCTCAAAAAATAATAATAAAATAATAAAATAAGAGATGTGGTCTTGCTATTTTTCTTGGGCTGTTCTCAAACTCTTGCCTCAAGTAGTACTGCCCCCACAGCCTCCCAAAGTTCTGGGATTACAGACATGAGCTACCACACCCAGTCTAATGAATTTTTTAAAGGACAACATATTCATAACATTTTCTTGGTAACTTTTAATGAAAAGTATATACATAAGAAAAGAATTGGAAGAAAAAGTGCCATGAGGCCAGGTGCGGTGGCTCATGCTTGTAATCACAGTACTTTGGGAGGCCAAGGCGGAGGGTGTTGGGGCCGGGGGTGGTACCTGAGTTCAGGAGTTCGAGACCAGCCTGGCCAACATGTTGAAATACTGTCTCTATTAAAAATACAAAAATTAGCGGGATGTGGTGGTGTGTACCTGTAACCCCAGCTAGCTACGTGGGAGACTGAGGCAGAAGAATCACTTGAACCCTCGAGAAGGAGGTTGCAGTGAGCTGAGATCACACCACTGTACTCCAGCTTGGACAACAAGTGCAAGACTCTGTCTAAAAAAAAAGAAAAGGAAAGAAAAAAAATGCCACAATACTAAGTCATTAATTTAATGCCAGGTGGTGGCACTATGAATGATTATTTTTTCTTTGTAATTTTTGTGCTTTTTTTTTTTTTTTTTTTTTGTATTTTTAGCAGAGAGAGAGTTTTGCTGTATTGACCAGGCTGGTCTCCAACTCCGGACCTCGTGATCCACCCGCCTCAGTTTCCCAAAGTGCTGGGATTACAGGCATGAGCCACAACACCCGGCTGCATTTTTGTTTTTAATATCTGTGTATGTCCACATGGATAGGTTTTTGTTTTACTTTTTGAGACGGAGTTTCATTCTTGTCGCCCAGGCTGGAGTGCAATGGCGCGATCTCGGCTCACGGTAACCCCTGCCCCCCCACCCCCGCACCGCCCCGGGTTCGAGTGATTCTCCTGCCTCGGCCTCTGGAGTAGCTGGTATTACGCATGTGCCACCACGCCTGGCTAATTTTGTATTTTTGGTAGAGATGGCCTTTCTCCCTGTTGGCCAGGCTGGTCTCTTTAACTCCTGACCTCAGGTGATCGCCCGTGTTGGCCTCCCAAACTGTTGGGATTACAGGCGTGAGCCACCGCGCCCAGCCACAGATAGGTATTTTAAAATACAGTCTGGTGAAAACAAAACAAAACAAAACAAAACAAAAAACCACACACACAAAAACAGCCACTTGCAAATCTGTGTGAATAATGTGGCAATATTTTTGTTAAAATCCATACACAATCAAAACAAAGCTATATTCTATGGATATATCTCTATGTATCCGTATAGATATAAATTCACAGCAAAAGATCTAGAAAGAAATATATATAGTTTTTGAGTCCATTTTTTGTTACTTATAACAGAATACCTGAAACTGGGTAATTTGTAAAGAAAAGGAAGTTATTTCTTGCAGTTACAGAGGCTGAGAAGTCCAAGGTCAACAGGATGTATCTGGGGAGAGCCTGCTTGCTGGTGGGGGACCTTGCAGAGTCCCCAGGCAGTACAAGGCATCATAAGGAGAGGGGGCTGAGCTGCTCACTTGCTAGCTCAAGGTCTCTCTCTCTCTACTTATAAAGCCAGCAGTCCACCTCCCAAGATAACCCATTAATCCAGTAACCTGTTAATACATGAATCCATGAATAGATTAATCCATTCATGAGGGCTCCACCCTTGTGATCCAATCACCTCTTAAAGGGCCCACCATACAATACTGCCACATTGGGGATTGAATTTCCAACACATGAAATTTACGTGATACATTCAAACCACAGTACATACTAAACTAATAATAATGGTTAGTTACCTCTGCGGAGGGGCCTAGGATGCGAGTTAAGGGTCACAGATCATTTGTACCTCATCTGCAAAGTTTAAATATTTTGCAATTATTCGCGTGTTGTGTAAGCAAAAATTTAAACATAATTTTTAAGAGAGAACTGCCCAGACCAGCTCCCGGGTTTCGCCGTAGATCCTCTGGGGCGTATTTCTGATCGAATCAATTTCTTCTCCCGGAGACACCCAATCAGGGTCGTGTGGATTATTTGTGGGTTAACCGGGGTTTCCCGTTAACCATCCAACTCAGAATATAACAGAGTTTTAAAAAAATTTTTTTGCTGTAATACCTATTTGGAACAAACCTGGGTCTAAAGATCGGAGCAAGTACTTATTTTCGAATCCACGACTTTTGAAAATAATTCTACAGGAATCAGATAGAACACATATTAAGCAAAAAAAAAAAAAACCCTCAGCAAAAATGCCTTTCAATTTCCAGAGTAAATTCTAGTAAAAGCATTAAGTAACTCTCTAGAAAAACCAGCTCGCAGTTAGGTAGCGTGGCCGAGCGGTCTAAGGCGCTGGATTAAGGCTCCAGTCTCTTCGGGGGCGTGGGTTCGAATCCCACCGCTGCCAAGGTTGTTTGTTTTTTCTCTCCGCTGCACACACCGCCGTCCACGTTTTGCGCGAGCCATCAGCGCCCCCTGCTGCAGGGCGGGGCTCATGGCCGGCATGAATGGCGCGGCGGAGGGGCGGAGCTGCGTGCCCCGGGGCGGGGCATTGTGGGTAAAAGGAAGCGCTGGGGCCGGCCTGCTCCCCCCACGTGTCCGCCGGAGTTTCTCCACCAGCAACATGGCCGCCGCCTGAGAGGATAGCCGGGCCGCCGCCGCCTCTGCAGCCCGCGGGTACCTGGGCCGTTGCCGCCGTCCGCGCGGCCCCGCGGAGAGGTGAGTCCCGACTTGGCAGCGCCCTGTCTGGGGCTTGAGCCGGACAGCACTCAATATGTGGGCCTGGGCTAGATTCCCGAGTAGGCCAAGGAGGCCCGCGCCGCGCTGTGCAGAGGGACTGGGGGCCTCTTGGGACGCGGGCGGGGAGGACGGGCAGCCGGCTCTAGGTCGACCAGGCCGACCCCGGACTCCGACCTCCCTGACCCTATGCTTGGGTGTTGGAGAGGCTGCGGCGGATGCTGCCGGCGGTGACTCAGGGTCCAGCCGATCTGCCCCACCCGGGCCGGGGCGGCCTCCTATGGAAGGAACACCTGTCTGTGGCGTCGGGTGTGGTGGCTGCTCGCGGCAGGAACTTCGTGGTGGGCGTGAGAAGGGGGCCTGACCACCCGCGAGGGAGCAGAAACCCATTGGACAGCGTGGCTTGGGGTCGGCGGCCCGCCCGAATGGGTAGGGACGGCACCTGCGCCTGCCGGAGCGCCCCTCTTTGCAGCTGAACCGCATTAGCCTCTGCCGGGTGAGGCCTGGGATTCCTCATTCATTTATTCAGGCAACCATTTAGTGTTTACTGAGCCAACTCTGTGCTCAGGACACGGCCCTGACCGTTCGATCCGAGGAGGTGTCAGTAAACAAACAAGGTCATTCGTTTGGGTTACCTTTAGAATTCCTTGAGCTTGAGGACGGAAAGAAGAGATCGTATCGATCGCCACAGTTTACTCATCTGTGAAATGGGAATAATACAAATTCCTACCTCATAGGGTTGTGGTGACGGCTCAGTAGAAACCGGGTGACGCTCCTGCTTGCAGCGCTTGACTTGTTGCTTAGTGTCATTACCCTCTTATACTGGAAGAAAACATGTTGTCAAGTAATAACAAACCTTCCCATAGGTTGGGTATATCACCGTCCTTACTCCTCCCTCCCCCAGCCGTTTGGAGGTCGGTATTTAGTTTCCCTACTTTAGGGATGAAAATAGGGAGGGACACCAAGCGTCGGCAACTCAGGTGGGCCACAGATGTGAAGCAGCAGTGGTGGGATTTGAACCTGCACAGTTTCGGTCCCAAGTCCAGGTTCTTACCCACTTAACCATACTGCCTTTTATTGAAGAGCTGTGCAGTGTAGTGGTTAAGAATAAGGATCTTTGACATCAGCGAGACCCAAGTTACTGTCCTGATTCCATCTTGGACAAGTTATGTATCTCTGAACCTGTCTCCTTATTTCTAAATTGAAGATGATAAATCTCTCCTGATAGTGCCAATGAGAAGATTAAATATAAAGTATTCTTTGTACTATATTGAGTGTCAACTTCGTGCCAGGCACTGTTCTAGGTATTGAGAGAACAGCGGCGGATTTTTTTTTTTTTTTTTTTTTTTTTTAAGTAATGATCTCCATAACAGCTTTAATGAAATAAAGTATAATTATCTCTGCATTTCGTAGTTGAGGAAACTGAAGCGCTGAGAAGCCTTCATGGAGCTTACATTCTACTGCAGAAGGCAGACAACACCTGAGCAAATAGACCAAGTAGTTCCGGATTAAGATGAGAACCACTAAGGAAAGCAAACAGAGAGATGTGGTGTAGTGCCTATGAGGAGGTTGGAGAAGGCTCTTAAAATAGAGGAGTCAGGGAACCTATCCTCAGCCGCAGGCGGTGATGATGATATTTAATAAAAAGGAGCAACCTTGGAAAGCCCTCTGGGGAATAGATGATGTGCAGAGGACCGTGGGGTGGACTGGGGCTTGGCTCCTTGGAAGCCCAGCAACTGACTACCAACCAGGCCAAGAAGATGGTGAGCGGAAGACCGAGACGAGATCATGCGGGGCCTTAGAGTGGCTTATGGAAAGGAGTTTGGGTTTTATTTATGTGACAGTGGTGGTTGACAGGTTTTAAGCAGGGAAATAATATGAGATATATATAAATTTTTTTGTTTTGTTTTTGAGACAGAGTCTTGCTCTGTCACCAAGCGCCAGGCTAGAGTGCAGTGGCGCAATATTGGCTCACTGCAACCTCTGCCTCCTGGGTTCAAGCAATTCTCCTGCCTCAGCCTCATATATATATATATATATATATATATATAGAGAGAGAGAGAGAGAGAGAGAGAGAGAGTGTGTGTGTGTGTGTGTTTAAGACAAAGTCTTGCTCTCTGTTGCACAGGCTGGAGTGCAGTGGCAAGATCTTGGCTCACTGCAGCCTCTGCCTGCTGGTTCAAGTAATTCTCCTGCCTCAGCCTCCCGAGTAGCTGGGATTACAGGTGTGAGCCACCTCACCTGGCTAGTTTTTTGTATTTTTAGTAGAGACGGGGTTTCACCTTACTGGTCAGGTTGGTCTCAAACTCCCGACCGCAGGAGATCTGCCTGCCTCGGACTCCCAAAGTGCTGGGATTACAGTCATAAGCCACTGCACCTGGCTCTATTTTTTTTTTTTCCCAATAGAGGTAGGGTCTTGTGGTCATAGCTTACTGCAGACTCCTGGGTTCAAGCAAGCCTGCTGACTCAGCGTCCCAAGTAGTTGGGACTACAGGCCATGGGTGTGTGTGTGTGTGTGTGTGTGTGTGTGTGTGTGTTTGGGACTACAGGCCATGGGGGTGTGTGTGTGTGTGTGTGTTTGGGACTACAGGCCATGGGGGTGTGTGTGTGTGGTTGGGACTACAGGCCATGGTGTGTGTGTGTTAGTGTTAGTGTTAGAGATCAGGGTCTCACTGTGTTGCTCAGGCTGGTCTTGAACTGCTGGTCTCAAGCGGTCCTTCCACCTAAGCCTTCTAAAGTGTTGGGATTACCAGTATGAGCCACCACGCCAGCCTGATTAACTTCTTTACAAGGACTCTGGCTGTTGCTGGGAGACGGAGGTAGGAATTAGGAGCCATAGGGAGCCTCAGATGAGTGCTTGTCACATTGCAGGTTGAGATTTATTAGTGGGAAATAAAACCAATTTAGGGGACTTGAAGCTAGCATTTTTTTGTTTTGAATGAAGTGGAAAACATCACTGCCTGACATATAGTAGGGACAGTTATGGTTATGTGAAAACTTGTTTCAGTTACACAGTTGTATATATGTTCTGGGTCATTTATATAAGATGAAATTCTTTTTCTCTTTTTCTTTTTCTTTTTTCTTTTTTTTTTTTTTTTTTGTGATGGAGTCTTGCTCTGTCACCCATGCTGGAGTGCAGTGGCAGGATCTCAGCTTACTGCAAACTCCACCTCCCAAGTTCAAGCGATTCTCCTGCCTCATCTTCCTGAGTAGCTGGGATTACCACCACGCCCAGCTAATTTTTTATTTTTAGTAGAGTTGGGGTTTCATCATGTTGGTCATGCTGGTCTTGAACTCCTGACCTCGACATCTGCCCACCTCAGCCTCCCAAAGTTCTAGGATTCCAGGCTTGAGCCACCGTGCCTGGCTAAGATGAATTTCTTACTGTGGTAGGTCTTAGACTGAAAACTTTGAAAGCCACTGAGTTGGATCACCTCAGCCTGGAGGATGAAGGGAGGTGACACTCTGCATCAACTCAGATGTACTATCCCAAGGGAGGAGCTCCAGCTTTCTAGCAGACAGGGCACCTCATCCTTCCTGATCCCTGGCAGGACAGAGGCTAACAGGGCGTAACAGTCGCCAAGAAAGAACTCTTGGGTCTTGGGAACCTCTTAGGCTACACCATCTTAGTGCTTATGATTGTCCCCTTGCCCACCTGGCACTCGGGCCTCTCAGTTGTCCACTGCCCAGCTGCAGAGAAGGCAGGAGCTTGACATGTCTGGCACTTGGCAGCCGATGCAGATGGGTAGGGCCTCGGGCTCTCCCTCCATACTGCCCTCTGTCTGCACAGCAGCAGGCACCTGAAAGCGACAAGATGGAACTTTTGATTTTCATTCCATCCTCCTTCTCTGGGACTGTTTGGATAGCCTGTTTCTCCTAAGTTTCTTTTTCTACCCACTCCAGATCTTCCTCTGCCCAAAATCCTTCTGTAGCCTCTTCTTAAATAGCATTCCCATGGTTCATTTATTTAGACAACCAACATGTATTGAGTGCCTACTGTGTGCTAGGCACTTGGGGTACCACAAGGGACAAAATAGACCAAAATCTCTGCCTTCACATAGCTTACAGCTTACTGGCAATAAGAGTGGGCACAAGTGCAGAGCTGTAAACTGTCACACGGTGATAAGACATCTGCTATGGAGAAAACCGGAGCAGAGAAAGGAGTTGAGGGGTGGGGGAGGCAGTTTGCAATTTGAATTGGAGAGGGAAGGTCTTAGCCGTAAGGTGACATTTGAGCAAAAACCTGAAAGAGGTGAATGAAGGAGGGGCCATGAGGTTATTATGGGATAGAGCAGCTATAAAGGCCAGAGGTAGGTTTGGAGAGGAGGGTAGGATCGTGGGAGATGAGGTCTGTCAGGTCAAGGGGCAGGAGATTGTTTAGGGCTTACATGGGATGATAAAGACTTTGGCTTTTGTGAGGCACAGTAGCTCACACCTGTAATCCCAGCACTTTGGGAGGCCAAGGCCAGTGAATCACTTGAGGCCAGAAGTTCAAGACCAGCATGGCCAATATGGCAAAGCTCCGTCTCTACCTTAAATACAAAATTAGCTGGGCGGGGTGGTGCATGCCTATAATCCCAGCTACTTTGGAGGCTGAGGCATGAGAATCACTTGAACCTAGGAAGTGGAGATTGCAGTGAGTCAAAATCAGGCCACTGCACTCCAGCCTGGGCGACAGAGCATGACGTGTCTTAAATAAATACATACATACATATTAGTTCAAGTGTTAAGTAGATCAGACAGAAATCATGCTGGTCTTGGCTGGGCATGGTGGCTCACACCTGTAATCCCAGCACCTGGGGAAACCAAGGTGGGTGGATTACCTGAGGTCAGGAATTCAAGACTAGCCTGACCAACATGGCAAAATCTCGTCTCTACTAAAAATACAAAAATTACCCAGGTGAGGTAGTGCACGTTGGTAATCCTAGCTACTTGGGAGGCTGAGGCAGGAGAATCCCTTGAACTCGGGAAGCAGACGTTGCAGTGAGCTGTGTAGTGCCACTGTACTCCAGCCTGGGCGACAGCAACACTCCATCTCAAAAAAAAAAAAAAATCTCAACCGAGAGCAGAGGTTTGGGAACTGCTGAAGCCTGTGGGTGCCTGAGTACCATCCTACCTATGACTACCCCTCTTTTTAATTTATTTATTTATTTATTTATTTATTTATTTTATTTTATTTTTGAGACGGAGTTTCACTCTTGTTACCCAGGCTGGAGTGCAATGGCGCGATCTCGGCTCACTGCAACCTCCGCCTCTTGGGTTCAGGCAATTCTGCCTCAGCCTCCTGAGTAGCTGGGATTACAGGTACACGCCACCATGCCCAGCTAATTTTTTGTATTTTTAGTAGAGACGGGGTTTCACCATGTTGACCGGGATGGTCTCGATCTCTTGACCTTGTGATCCACCCGCCTCGGCCTCCCAAAGTGCTGAGATTACAGGCTTGAGCCACCGCACCGGCCTATTTATTTATTTTTTGAAACGGAGTTTCGCTCTTGTTACCCAGGCTGGAGTGCAACGGCACGGTCTTGGCTCACCACAACCTCTGCCTCCTGGGTTCAGGCAATTCTCCTGCCTCAGCCTCCTGAGTAGCTGGGATTACAGGCATGCGCCACCATGCCCAGCTAATTTTTTGTATTTTTAGTAGAGACGGGGTTTCACCATGTTGACCAGGATGGTCTCGATCTCTTGACCTCGTGATCCACCCGCCTCGGCCTCCCAAAGTGCTAGGATTATAGGCTTGAGCCACCGCGTCTGGCTTGACTACCCCTCTTCTCTTTGGGTATGTGAAGGAGCAGACCAGCTGAAATACTCAACCTGCCCCCTGGAGACCTGCAGCCTTCCCTCTTGCAGGCACTTTCTGTCACCTGGAATTCCTCCTCCCCACTGCTGTCATGCTTGTCCAAAGCCCTATCTCCTTCCAGGCGCACCCCATGTGCCTCCTTCCCAGCAGGAAAGCCCTGCCTGCCTCTGAACTCCCCTATCTGCACCTGTCACCTGAGGTCAGACAGCCTGGATTTGAAGTCCAGTTCATCGTCCTGCTTGCTGTGTGACTTTGGGTAAAAATGTGCAGAGTGGGCCGGGCGCGGTGGCTCAAGCCTGTAATCCCAGCACTTTGGGAGGCCGAGGCGGGTGGATCACGAGGTCGAGAGATCGAGACCATCCTGGTCAACATGGTGAAACCCCGTCTCTACTAAAAATACAAAAAATTAGCTGGGTATGGTGGCACGTGCCTGTAATCCCAGCTACTCAGGAGGCTGAGGCAGGAGAATTGCCTGAACCCAGGAGGTGGAGGTTGCAGTGAGCCGAGATCACGCCATTGCACTCCAGCCTGGGTAACAAGAGCGAAACTCCGTCTCAAAAAAAAAAAAAAAAAAAAATGTGCAGAGTGTATCTTGAGTTCCAGTTCATTCATTATACAACAGTGACAATCACCACACCTCACAGGGTCATTGTGTTGAATACAGGAGAGAAGAGTGTGTGAAGAGGTCATTTTTAGACCAAAAACACAGATGTGTCGGCCGGGCGCGGTGGCTCAAGCCTGTAATCCCAGCACTTTGGGAGGCCGAGGCGGGTGGATCACGAGGTCAAGAGATCGAGACCATCCTGGTCAACATGGTGAAACCCTGTCTCTACTAAAAATACAAAAAATTAGCTGAGCATGGTGGCATGTGCCTGTAATCCCAGCTACTCAGGAGGCTGAGGTAGGAGAATTGCCTGAACCCAGGAGGCGGAGGTTGCGGTGAGCCGAGATCGCGCCATTGCACTCCAGCCTGGGTAACAAGAGTGAAACTCTGTCTCAAAAAAAAAAAAAACCAAAAAAACACAGATGTGTCATCTCAGATTTCAGTTAAAGTCAGCTTGAAAATCAAACATCAGAGACAGCTTTGGACTGTCTGTCTTCCCGTTTGACGTCTGGCTCCTCTTTAAAGCTTCCCCAGGGCCCTCAGTTCTCCAGTGTTTTAATCATGGCTGGGACCAGCCAGCCTCCATCCTTCTGTCTGGCAGTGAATTCTCTGTGCGTAGAGAAGAAACCCTTAAAGCCAGTCATTTGCAGCCAGGCGCAGTGGCTCATGCCTGTAATCCCAGCTCTTTGGGAGGCCAAGGTGGGCGGATCACGAGGTCAGGAGATTGAGACTGTCCTGGCCAACATGGTGAAACCCATCTCTACTAAAAACACAAAAGTCGGCCGGGCGTGGTAGCTCACGCCTGTAATCCTAGCACTTTGGAGGCCAAGGCGGGCGGATCAACTGAGGTCTGGAGTTCAAGACCAACCTGACCAACATGGTGAAACCCTGTCTTAAAAAAAAAAATCAATAAAAATAAATAAAAATACAAAAAATCAGCTGGGTGTGGTGGCGCATGTCTGTAATCCCAGCTACTCGGGAGGCTGAGGCAGGAGAATTGCTCAAACCCGAGAAGTGGAGGCTGCAATAAGCTGAGATCGTGCCACTGCACTCCAGCCTGGTAACAGAGCAAGACTTGGTCTCAAAACAAAACGAAACAAAAAAACAAAAAAAACAGTCATTTTCTTTTCCCCACAGGTGCATCCCACACATACTGGCTCAGTCTGCCCGCTTATACCTGCTGCTTGGATTTTTCTTTTTTTCTTTATTTCTTCTGGCTGATAGGGTATAGGGTTGGCTGTCCACTGGTGACTTCATGATAGATGTAGAAAGGTCGGTTGGTTTGTTATGCGCTCTGCCTCCCAGTGCAGAATAGGCTCGGGGAAATGGTTGAATGACTGACTGATGGTCACAGTCTCTCGCCCTCCTTTGCAGATCGAGCTCAAGGACCGCACGGCTGGCTCTCCCCTAGTATGGCCAATGAAGAGGATGACCCAGTCATACAGGAGGTAACTGCTGCCCTCTGTCCCCTGCTGCCGGTGCTGCAGGCAGTGGAACTCGGTCCTTTCCATGCGTCCTCAGGCCAGTCTGGGACCTGTTGGTGTTCTGGGATCCCTAACCCTTGATGCTTCCTCTGCTGTCCCCTAGACCCCTGCATGACTGACCTCTCCCTGCCTTCGGGTCTCTGATCCAGCGTCACCTCATCAGAGAGGCCTTTCCTGACCGCCCTTCCACACAGGGTTCCCCTCCTGCACCGCTCTCTGCCCTTACCTTGGCTGTAACTCACACTTGGCCTAGCCCCTGTCATCGCCAAGATAATAGTTCATAGCTTTTCTTCCTGTCCTCTGCTGAGCCACACAGTCAAGTGCAGTGCGTGGCACTCAGGTACCTGGTGACTATTTGGTGAATAAGTGGATGGGCTCAGCAGTCCTTCCTTCCCAGGCTTATGCAGATTCAGTCATTCAGCAGCTGTTCATTGGACCGTGTGCTAGGGGCTGTGACACATCAGTGAGCAGGGCAGGGTACCCTTCCCCAGGAAGCTAATGAGCCATGGGCAAGACTGATGAGGAAGGAGTCTCCAGCCGCCCAGGTTGCAGGCAGTGGGAGGCAGATTCCGCCCCACTCCCCCCTCCTTTTTTTTTTTTTTTTTTTTTTTTTTTTTTTTGGAGAGACAATCTTGCTCTGCTGCCCAGTCTGGAGTTCAGTGGTGCCATCTCTGCTCACTGCAATCTCCACCTCCTGGATTCAAGAGATTCTTCTGCCTCCAACTCCCTAGCAGCTGGGATCACAGATGCCTGCCACCATGCCTAATTTTTTTTTTTTTTTTTTTTTTTTTTGAGATGGAGTCTCACTCTGTAGCCTAGGCTGGAGTGCAGTGGCACGATCTTGGCTCACCGCAACCTCTGCCTCCCAGGTTCAAGTGATTCTTGTGCCTCAGCCTCTTGAGTAGCTGGGATTACAGGGGCCCGCCACCATGCCCGCCTAATTTTGGTATTTTTAGTAGAGACCGGGTTTCACCTTATTGGCCAGGCTGGTTTCGAACCCCTGACCTCAAGTGATCCGCCCACCTTGGGCTCCCAAAGTGCTGGGATTACAGGTGTGAGCCGCTGCACCTGGCCCAGGTTTCCCTTCTTAGACAAAGCTGTCTATAGCCAAACTTATCTTTCAGAATCCTTTTAACCTGGGACTTACACCTTTGGAAGGCAAAAGGCAAAAAGTACCTGGATCTGCCTTCAGCCTCATATGCAGAGGCTGACTTCCAGTGGGAAGGGCAGGGGCAAGGAGAAGCTTCCTAGAGCCTGGTCAAGGGACCCTAGGAGAAGGTCCAAGGGCAGATGAATAGAGGTGGTTCTTCCTTACTTGGGGGATGTTGCTAAGTTTTTAGATTTGAGTTATTTAAATGCATTTAGGCTGCATCTACACTGCAGTAGCCGGAGTTGCAATGGGGGTTGGTGATGGGATAGAGGAGTCCAAGCGACCCTGAGGACAGAGCAGCACCCTCTGCAGCCAGGGGGTCTGGAATGCTTCCTGGCCAAATCATGCCTCGGCCAAGTCCTTGGAGGAGTGAGCAGTCAAGGCTCAGGGGAGGCATGTGTGAAGGGCTCTGTAGGAGCAGGGAAAAGCATGTGCAAAGGCCCAGGGGCAGGAGACAATGTGGTTTATAGGGGAGGAGCTAGGAAGTGGAAAGGTAAACTGCTGCATGGCGGGGTGGGGGTGGTTAGTGCTGGGAAGAAAGGAATTGGAGCCATCAGTCACAAAGGGCTTTGGAGACCCCCTCAGATGGGGTGACAGGCCGATCCAGGATGGGCAGGTGGAGGGCCCAGCCAGGAGGCATAGGAATAGGTGAGCCCCTTGCCTGCCTGCCTCTCAGAAGAGCTTTTGACCAGGTTCTAGGATGGTTCCCAATCAATGCAGCCACGGGAAAGATGTGTGCTTGCTGGGGGATTGTGAACTTGGATGGGGTGCGCCAGGTGAACTCTTGTCCTGGTTCCCCTAGGAGCTTTGGGGAGGGATTCCTGCATATATCCAGTGTGCAGACTCGGATCCTCTTGTTTTTAGCATGAGCTGGGCTAATTCCTCCATCCCCACACTGCCTCCCTGAGCCACTATCCCTAACTGAAGCTGGAGGCGCGGGCACAGCCTGGGGAGTTCAGCACTGTGTTCAGTCTCCCGGTTAAGTCTTCTTCCCTTGTTCCCAGATCGACGTGTACTTGGCCAAGAGTCTGGCAGAAAAGCTGTATCTGTTTCAGGTAATTATGGGACTCGAAGGTAAAGAGGGGAAAAGCAGGTGTGGATGGGCGGTGTGGACTTGGGAACATGGACAGGAAACGATGGGAAACCTCAGCTAGGGTTCTCGGTGTGGAGAGTGTCATGGGGTCGTTCTCTTTGCTTTGGCGGGTGGGTTAATACTGGTCTCATTTCAAAGATGGGAAAACTGAAGGAACACAGGAGAGGCAGAAGCGGGCAGCAGTGAAGTCTGGGGCTCTGCGGTCAGACCGGATCAAGAGCCAACTCCATCATACCTTAGCTGTGAGCCCTTGGGCAAGTTTCTTAATCGTTCTGTGCCTCAGTTTCCTCATTGGCAAAAAGTGGTGATGGTAATAATGCCTGCCTCTTAGGGTCCTAAGGAGGACGGGTTGAGTCCACAGTGAAGTGTTTAGGATGCTGCCTGGCAGAGAGTTAGTGTCAGTGATGATCACTGTTGTTGTCCTGGAGGCTCCAAGGGCCAGCTCGAGGCAGCATCTGTGAGCCCTCAGTCCTGCCAGCTGCCAGCTGTGAGGGCCCCGGGTTGCTACCTCTGCCCTTGCCCTTGCTGCTGGGCCAGCAGCTTGTCATAGTGGCTAACATGTATTAAGCATTGAAACGTATGCAAACTGTTTAAAGCATTTACCTAAGTTACCTCTTTAATTCCACAATAACCCTATGGTGGTGATTATTATATTTCATAATATATTGACATAGAATTTGCACACCATACAATTTCCCTATTTAAGTGTATAATATAATGGATTTTAGTCTATTCATGGGGCTGTGCAACCAGTGCCACAGTCTTATTTTGGGACAGTTTTGTCCCCCTTTAAAGGAAGCCTGTGCCTATTAGCAGTCAGTCCCCATGTGCCCACATTCCCACCTCCAACACCAGGCAACCATTCCCCTTATTTTCTGTCTATGGATTTACCTGTTCTGGACTTTTCACATAGCTGGATAACGCAGTATGTGGCTTCCTGTGATTGGCTGCTCTCACTTTGCATGATGTTTTCAGGATTCATCCACATGGTAGCTGTAGACTGCATTGATATTCGATCTTTGATTGATGAATAATGTTCCATTTTGTGGGTAGACGACAGTTTGCTTATCCATTCGTCATTTGATGGGTATTTGGGTTATTTCTACTTTTTGGCTATTATAAATAATGCTTTGTGGACATTCGCATAGAAGTTTTTGTGTGAACATGAGTTCTCATTTCTCCCAGGGATATGCCTGGGAGTGGAATTGCTGGGTCTGCATTTTGCTTTTCGGGGTACTGCTGGGCTGCTCCGCCCCATGTTACATTCCCACAGGGTCAGTGTTCGTATCCCAAGATGAACATGAGAATGCGAGGCACAGGGAGGCCCTCACTGGCACAGAGGCCTGGGGCATGCCATGGCAGCAATGCTGCAAGCCTGCACTGGGAGGGCCTGGCCTACACTCCTTGGGGCTCACCCTTGGGGGCTGTGGGAATGGGGCCTGTCCTGTGTGCCTGCTGACCCTGCTTCCTTGACTGACTGCACAGGGATGGTGGAGGTTCCAGTGACCCCCATGTATCCAGAGTGCCAGGCACTGTGCTAGCATCAGCTCTGTTTGCCTCCTTCGTGCTCTCAGCGGCCCTGGGAGGTGAGAATGCTTAGCCTCAGGGAGGTGAGGTGCCTGCCCTAGTCCACAGTTCGCAAGGGGTACAGTGTGGACTGGAAGCCTGGCCTGCGATTCCAGAACCTGCACCGTTCAGCATTCCCACCCCAGGTCAGATGATCTCAGAACTGCCTCAAGCCCCAGACTGGGAAGCAGGGAGGAGTCACGGCTTTGCTGCATGAGTGGGTTTCTAGGAAATGACCGTCTTGTTGTGCTAGAATGTAGCTGATCTGAAAGAGCCTATTTTCTACACTGCCACGCCTCCACCAGGCCCATTCCACAGGCTGTCCTGAGACTAGGCAGAGCATTAGAGGAGGGGTCCAAACTTTGACTCCTCCACCTGAGAGAGAGAGAGACAGACAGACAGAGACAGTGACAGTGACAGTGCACTGTGAGGACAGATGTGGGCAGGAGTCCCCGTGTGTTCAGCGCATTGCAGTGTGAGCCATTCACATAAAGATAAGAGCGGGCCATGGCTGCCCAGCTCCCTTCTCCAGCATCTTTCGAGGAAGCTCACACAGCTGGAAAAGGAGGGAGAATGGGATCATGAATTCCCACCTGCCCAGCTGGCCTCAGCAGTGAGCAGCACCTGCCGGCATTGCTTTCCCCCTTTGCTTCCTTGTGGCCTCCTTTTGTTCATCCCTCTCTCCCCACATGGCCTGTCCATGGGTAGTTAGGCCCTGGACCCCCATCCTCACCTCCCGTGGCTGTGCTCTGTAGGTTCCTGGAGCAGCAGCCTGCCGGTTTGGGTTCTTGTGCGTAGGCATGTCCCTCGGAAGTCAAAGACATCCTGCAGTGGCCCTTTGGAAGGAGCTGATGAGAATAGGGCTGCAGGTGGAGACCGGCAGGGGGGCCTTGTGGTAGGGCTGGGCAGCTGGCACCCTTGTGGTAGGGTGGGGCTGGTCTCTGCTTGGGTGGGCTTGGAGGTTGCTGTTGATTCTTGGTGGAGGCCCAGCTCTGGGCAAGCCTGGGCAGATTGGACTTACACCTTCCTTCCCCTCCCCAGTATCCTGTGCGTCCAGCCTCGATGACCTATGATGACATTCCACACCTCTCAGCCAAGATCAAGCCCAAGCAGCAGAAGGTGGGGCTGCCCCCTGAGGGCAGTTGGGGGCAAGAAGAAGGGGTGATGAGGGTGGGAGCTGGTGGAGGCGAGAAGCTCAGAGAAGGGGCTATTGGAGAATTAGGAGAACCAGCAGCTCTCAGGGCCTTGAATGCTGAAGAAGGAAAGCGTCCAGAAAGACAGGGATGGGCAACTCCAGAGAGGCCAGGGAGGCACGAGGCTGATGAATTAGAGAATGCGGCCAGATGTGAGCTTAGGTTCCCAGGATGAGACGGGGCGGGCGGGTGAACATGGAGGGGGTCTAATAGGAAGAGAATCTAGTGCCTGTCCGTGGAGGGTCTGCAGCTCTAGCCCCTGCAGCCACATGGAAGTGCTGTCCCTGTATTGCCATTTCTGCTGGCTTTTCACTTGATTTTTAAGTGTTGGCACCTCATTTAGATCTTTGGGAGTTAAGTGGAGGACAAATAAGATGACAGGACTCAGCTTCTTCTCCCCTGCAAAAAAAAAATTCTGATTTTTTTTGGAAATTGGATTTGTGGCCCTTGGTGTGGACTAAAGTCTAGGGGCCCTTGGGGACATGTGTCAGTCCTGCTTCTGGGCAGGGACCTGGTTAGGAGGTGGCCATGGCGGGGTTAGGGTGTCCCTTGGGGAGCCGTGCCTTGGGGTCCTCATAGCTGGTGGGGGTGCTTGGTGCCTCCAGGTAGAGCTTGAGATGGCCATCGACACCCTGAACCCCAACTATTGCCGCAGCAAAGGGGAGCAGATTGCGCTGAACGTGGACGGGGCCTGCGCAGATGAGACCAGCACGTACTCCTCGTGAGTTCCCGGCCCCCAGCCCGCCCGGCTTCCCTGTGTTCACACAGGAGCCTCCCAAAGACCTTAAAGACATTGACTGCCTCTGCCCCATCGCTGGGCTCCCCACCAGCGTCCCAGCCTTTGGAGGGCTGGGGCTGTCTCAGACCCTCCCCTCCTGGGCTAGCTGGTCCCAGAGCTCCCACCCACTCCTCGTCTTTTGGTCTGCAAACAAGGCCATGGGTCTTCTCAGCCCTACGCTTTCCTCCTGAGACCAGCGTAGGCTGCCCTGGGGCTGTGGTCCCTGGCTCTGGCACTTCAGGAGGTGTCTGGGGGGTGGAGTGGGCTGTGACCACAGGCCCTGGCTCACAGCTGCCTGTCGCTGTGACATTGCTTCTCCCTGTGCTCCAGGAAGCTGATGGACAAACAGACCTTCTGCTCTTCCCAGACCACCAGTAACACATCCCGTTACGCCGCTGCACTCTACAGGCAAGGTACCCGGGGTTGGGTGTCCCTCGTGGCGGCAGTGGGGGTGGGGGGGCACGGGGGAGGACACAGTGTAGGGGGCTGGGCAGGGAGAGAACCTCCCAGCTTGGTCCATCTCCCACCTGCCCCGAAAGCTAGATACCTGTGGGGGCTGGACAGGTGTGGGAATAACAGGAAGACACATTGTCAGGGGACTGGAAGTGGCCACTTTTGGGGACTGCGGACTGGTTACTGCCTGACCAGATAGGGTGGGGCTCCAAGTTCATTCATCCTCCTGGGACACAGATACATACAAGTAGCATAACATAAGTTTGGGGACAGAATTTTGTCTTTAAATACAAAACTTACGATAGAGTAATTCCATTCCTAGACGGCGTCTATCCAAGACAAATGAAAACGTGTCCACACAAAAACCATACACAGGTATTCATGGTAGCATTCTTTTTTTTTTTTTTTTTCCTCCTCAAAGATGGAGTCTTGCTCTGTTGCCCAGGCTGGAGTGCAGTGGCATGATCTAGGCTCGCTGCAACCTCTGCTTCCCAGTTCAAGCGATTCTTCTGCCTCTGGCTCCTGAGCAGCTGGGACTACAGATGCCCACCACCATGCCCACCTGATTTTTTTTTTTTGTATTTTTAGTAGAGACAGGGTTTCACCATGTTGGCCAGGCTGGTGTCAAACTCCTGACCTCGTGATCCACCCACCTCAGCCTCCTAAAGTGCTGGGATTACAGGCGTGAGCCACTGTACCTAGCCCTCTGCAGTAGCATTCTTTGTGATTGAAACAACCCGAATGCCTGTCCGTTGGGTTCATGGAGAAACAGAATGTGGTCCACTAACGCAATTATTTGACCACGGAAAGGAATAAAGCATTGCTGCTTCCATGCAGATGAGCCTTGACAATGTTGCACTAAGTGAAAGAAGCCACTTGCTTCGCCACAGCCATGCGCTGTATGATTATGTCTCAGACAGCGACCGACCGCATACACACTGGTGGTCCTGTAAGATAATAATGGAGCTGAAAGATTTGCTCACCTAGTGGTGTCTTAACGATCCTCACCCTGCGTAGGCCTAGGCTAATTCGTATGTTTGTGTCGTAGGTTTCATTTGTTTGCTTGTTTTGTTTTGAGACAGAGTCTTGCACTGTTACCCAGGCTGGAGTGCAGCAGTGCAATCTCAGCTCACTGCAACCTCTGTCTCCCAGGATCAAGCAATTCTCCTGCCTCTGCCTCCCAATTAGCTAGGATTACAGGCACACATCACCACATTGGCTGATTTTTTTTTTCTTTTTAATTTTTAAAAAACTTCTTACTTTTTTTTTTTTCTTTCTTTTTAAGATGGGGTTTCACCATGATGGCCAGGCTGGTCTTGAACTTCTGACCTCAGGTGATCCACCCCCCTCAGCCTCTCAAAGTGCTAGGATTACAAGCGTGAGCCACCGCGCCCGGCATGATTTTTGTATTTTTAGTACAGACGGGATTTTGCCATGTTGGCCAGGCTGGCCTCGAACTCCTGACCTCAGGTGATCTGCCCGCCTCAGCCTCCTAAAGTGCTAGGATTATAGGCATAAGCCACCACACTTGGCCTGTGTCTTAGTTTTTAGTAGAAAGTTTAAGAAGTTTTTTTAAAAAAGAGAAGAAGAAAGGAAAATAAAGCATATAGCTGGGCATGGTGCATCATACCTGTAATCCCAGTGCTTTGGGAGACTGAAGCAGGCTGATTGCTTGAGCCCAGGAGTTTCAGACAAGCCTGGGCAACATAGTGAAATCCCTTCTCTACAAAAATACAAAACTCAGCTGGGTGTGGTGGCACAGCTGTGTGATTACGTCTCAGTCACCCCTTAGTCCCAGCTACTCAGGAGACTGAGGTGGGAGGATTGCTTGAGCCTGGGAGGCAGAGGTTGCAGTAAGCTGAGATTGTGCCACTGCACTGCAGCCTGGGTAACAGAGCAAGACTCTGTCTTGAAAAAAAGCATATGTAATAAAGGTATATTTTCCATGAATTTATTTTATTCTTTTAGAGGGAGTCTCACTCTGTCGCCCAGGCTGGAGTGCAACAGCTCGATCTTGGCTCACTGAAACCTCTGCCTCTTGGGTTCAAGCAATTCCGTTGTCCCAGACTCCCGAGTAGCTGGGACTACAGGTGCATACCACCATGCCCAGCTAATTGTTGTATTTTTAGTGGAGACAGGGTTTTGCCGTGTTGGCCAGGCTGGTCTTGAACTGCTGACCTCAGGTGATCCACCTCGACCTCCCAAAGTGCTGGGATTATAGACGTGAGCCACCTCGCCCAGCCTGTTATTCATAAATTTAGTGTGGCCTAAGCGTGCAGTGTTTATAAAGTCTACAGTAGTGTATAGTAATGTCACAGACCTTCAGATTCACTTACCGCTCACTCTCACCCAGAGCAGCTGTTTTTAATCTTTCATACTATACTTTTACTGTACCATTTTTATGTTGAGGGTTTTAGGGTTTTAGGGTTTTTTTTTTTTTTTGGAGACTGGGTCTCACTCTGTCACCCAGGCTGGAGTACAGTGGTGATCATAGCTCACTGCAGCCTGAATCTCCTGGGCTCAAGCAATCCCCCTGCCTCAGTCTCCTAAGTAAATGGGACTGCAGGCCGTGCCACCACACCTGGCTAATTAAAAAACAAAATTTGGTTGAGATGGGGTCTTGGTATGCTGCCCAGGCTGGTCTCAAACTCCTGGACTCAAGCCATCCTCCTGCCTCCACCTCCCAAAGTGCTGGGATTACAGGTATGAGCCACTGCACCCAGCCTAAATATATTTCGATACACAAATGCTTACCATTGTGTTACAACTGCCCACAGTTTTCAGGGGAGGAACATGCTGTACAGTGTGTAGCCTGGGAGCAACAGGCTATATAGAGCTGAGGCATGTCGTAGGCTCTGCTATCTGGGTTTGTATAAGTGCATTCTGTGATGTTTGCACAGTGATGAAATTGCCAGACAGTGCTTCTCAGAACCTATCCCATTGTTAAGTGATGTGTGGCTGTATATGAAATGTCCAGAATAGGCAAATCCACAGAGGGAGAAGGTAGATTAGTGGCTACCAGGGACTAGTGGGGAGTGGAGGAGGGATTACCTGGTTCTTTTTGGGGTGATGAGAATGTTCTAAAATTGACTGTACTGGCTACACAGCTTTGTGAATATGTTAAAATACATTGAATTGTGGCCTGGAGTGGTGGCTCACACCTGTTATCCCAGCCCTTTGGGAGGCTGAAGTAGGTGAATCACCTTAGGTCAGGTGTTCTAGAACAGTCTGGCTAACATGGTAAAACCTCATCTCTACTAAAAATACAAAAAATTAGCTGGGCATGGTGGCACACACATATAATCTCAGTTATACCGGAGGCTGAGGCAGGAGAATCACTTGAACTCAAGAGGCCGAGGTTACAGTGAGCCAAGACTGTACCACTGCACTCCAGCCTGGGCAATAGAGTGAGACTCCATCTCAAAAAAAAAAAAAAAAAAAAAAAAAATACATTGAATTGTATGCTTTAAATGAGTGGATTGTATGGTACATGAGTCATGTCTCAAAGGCTGGTAAAAAGTACAAGGTGCTTAAGTATTTAGAGACTTAAACACAATAAACAAAATTATCTGAGCACATCAGAAACAAAACAGGATAGGATCAAAAGTAGTGCCATGTAACTATCGTTTTCTGTTTTGAACCCATGTCTCAAGCGTGTAATTCTTGAAAGCCACATCCCTCGCAGCTGGGACCGTAAGGAAAAGTCATAGTCTCAATCAGAAGCCATGTGGACACTCCTCCACCCGGCTTCAGCAGGGCCTCTCCTCCAGCCACAGTGGCACTAGTGGACTTCCCAGTGGAACGGGTGGGATTTTGACAGCAGGAGGTGGAGGATATTAAGGAGAGGAAATCTGGGTGTGTGGGGTGGGACAGTAAGGGTGCTCTGGCTAAGGCCTGGAGGGTAAAGAGCAGGGCGCATGTGCTGAGGATTAGCTGCCTCGTGTGGCAGAGCAAGCAGCTGGGGAGAGAGGCGTGGAACAAGGCTGGGAGGTGCAGCTGAAGGTGGCGGCTTCAAGCGGAAGAGTCCAGGTTCGTGTCCTAGTCTGGGCTGTGTGCTTGCTGTATTCAGTAGGGCCAGGTGGAGTTGGGGTGGCCTCCGGCCTGGTGGTCCCAAGGCTCTGGGATTGGGGGCTGGAGTGGGAATGGGAGGCGGTTTGACAGCAGGCCTAGGCCTTCAGGGGACTTGGTGACTCCCTTGAGCCAAACTGGGTGGATTTCTAGAGTCAGGTCCAAGCCCTTCTTCCTCCGCCAGGTGAGCTCCACCTGACACCTTTACATGGCATCCTGCAGCTGCGGCCCAGCTTCTCCTACCTGGATAAGGCGGACGCCAAGCACCGGGAGAGGGAGGCAGCCAACGAGGGTGAGCCTGGGATCCCCAGCCCTGCTGCCTGCCTGCCTTAATCTTGCTGGGCCTGCTTGATCCTGGGAAGAGGGATGTGATGGATGATAGGAGGCTTAGCAGCATCCCGGCCTCTATCTACTTAGATGCCAGAAGCACCCACCCCACAGTTGTCACGAACGAAAACATCTCCACACATTGCCCAGTGTCTCTGGGGGACAGGGCAAAAGTGTCCCCATTTGAGAACCTCCAGCTTAGGCGGTTCCCTCTTCTAGGAGAATTCTCAGCACCCTGGCCTGAGGCCTCCCTGGCGGGTGGGGTTGAGAGAAGGGAGGTGGAGGCTCCCCAGGACTGCAGGCAGTGGCTTGTCTCTCTTGCAGCAGGGGACTCTTCACAGGATGAGGCGGAAGACGATGTTAAGCAGATCACGGTGAGCCCTGGCCCCCGGGGGAGGAGGGTGCTGCCTTGGTGGCAGCAGGACCAGTTTAGTAACTCAGCAGCCCCGAGACTGAGGGGTACTGGGTCCTCGCAGGAAGCAGGTGGAACAAACAGGGTCTGTGCTTTTGAGCCTTCTTGCTGGGTGCCTGAATGGAACATCCGAGTTTCCCAGCTGCACATAAGACAGAGCCCTGGCCGGATGCAGGAGATGGGTCCCTGAGGCTCGGCTGGAATCACCTGGGAGCAGGAAGCTGGGGCCAGGAGCCCCGAGGACCCGCAGGCCAGCTCTGCCATGAAACCTGTATCTTAACTGAGCCAAAGTCAATTAACTGTGATTCTGTCCTCTTTATGGGGCACAGATGAATAATTTTTGTTTTAATAGTTATTCCTGAATTTTAAGGATTTTTCAAAGAACCTTAACCTTCCACTTATGGCTTGTAAAGTTTTCCCTATGTAAACATATTTAGATTAAAATGGGTAATACCAAAAAAAAAAAAAAAATGCTGCATATGGAATGATCGTGCACAAGTATGGCGAAAGAGTAGTGAGTGTTTGGATGTCCTTGAGGACCGGGGAACACTGGAGTCACTGACATGGAGGTGGCTCAGAGAGCTCACCCTCTTCTCTCAGTAGCTTCGTAGGACCTTAGAAACTCCCTTCTGCTCTGGGGGGCGCGCAGCCCTTGTTAGAAAAGGCGTCCTTGGGCCTGTGTGCTGTAAGGACTCTGCCAGCTATGGTGCCTGGGACTTTGTAATCCCCCTCAAACCTGTGGGCTGGGCAGGCACGGGCAAGTATAAGCCGCTCCCCAACATGTGCAGACAGCTCCTGGAGGGACGCAGTTGGAACGGAATTTAAACGACCTGTGCCAGGAAAGGAAGGGGGCGGGGAAAACCTCGATACAGAGTTCTCTGGTCTCCTGGCAGAGGCCAAGATGGCAGCCCAGGAAGGGTCACAGGCCTGAGAGCATGAGTTCTTCCCCTTACCACCCCAGGTGCGGTTCTCCCGGCCCGAGTCCGAGCAGGCCCGCCAGCGCCGCGTGCAGTCCTATGAGTTCCTGCAGAAGAAGCATGCAGAGGAGGCCTGGGTCCACCTGCATTATTATGGCCTGAAGGTGAGCGGGCCATGGAGCACTGGGCGAAACACCCGGTGCCCAAAGGGTTCAGGATGTGGCCTCCATGTCTCACCTTGAACTTAAGTCACATTCATGAGTCCTAGCCACAAAGACAGGATTTAGTCCTGCGGGCAGTTTCCACTTCACTCCAGCCGAGCCATTTAGCGCAGGGCCCCAGGGGAGCAAGAGAAAAAGATTCGAGTCTGCGGTTCCCTGGGTGGGGTTTGGCCCCGGGTGTGGGCATCTTGCTGGGCTGGCAGTGGGACTGGTGTCTGGTTACATATTTTTCATGTGCCCAGGTGCTGAACGCAGGCCAGACGGGTTCTCTGGTGCTGCCCTAGAGAGCTGATTGTCTGTTGTCTGCCCCAAAGCTCCTGGCACGCCTGCCCAGGAGGATTTTTTACTACATTCGCTTTTCATCTGGTGCACTGACTTTATTTACGTTTTTGTTTTGTTTTGTTTTGAGACAGTCTCATTCTGACACCCCGGCTGGAGTTTAGTGGCTCAATCTTAGCTCACTGCATTCTCTGCATCCTGGGTTCAAGCAGTTCTCCTGCCTCAGCCTCCCAGGTAGCTAGGACTACAGGCACCTGCCACTACACCAGCTAATTTTTTTTTTTGGTATTTTTAGTAGAGATGGGGTTTCACCATGTTGGCCAGTCTGGTCTTGAACTCCGGACTTCAAGTGATCTGCCTGCCTCAGGCTCCCAAAATGCTGGGATTACAGGCATGAGCCATGGCCACCTGGCCCTGGTGCATTGACTTTAGAACCTAACCCTTGAAACTATGTATTAAGTGAGGGAAGCTTCCAAAGACACCATGGGCCAGGCTCCCAATGTTTTCTGGGGTGGGGAACCTCTGGAACCTTCCTGGAAGGGATTTGGGTTGACAGACCCTTAGACTCGGGGTCAAACATCGGAACATTGCAGTTTACTGCTGTGTTACCTTGGGCGTGTTACCTAACCTCTCTGAGCCTCAGTTTTCTTATTTATAAAATGAGAGTAGTAATCGTAGTACCTACCTTGCCGAGTTATTTTGAGAATGGGATGAGTTCGTATATTTACACCCAGTGGAACAGTCCAGCACATCCGAGGTGCTCAGTGAACGTTAGCCATCTTTTTGTCATTGCCAGTGATGTGCGTGTGTTACAGACAGGGCACCAAGGCTTGGGGGCTGGGGCTGGGCATATCATAAGGCCAGGAAGATGGGTGGCTGAGGCCACATCAGAGGCCTTGGGTGCCGTGCTTCGGAGGTTGGACGTGGTCGTGTGGCTGCCCGTGGAGTGGAAGGCAGGGGAGACCTTGGGGAGGGGGCCCAGACCAGGACATCGGCTGAGGCTCTTTTCACCCCCTCCTCTCCTCCAACAGGACAGCCGCTCTGAGCACGAGCGCCAGTACCTGCTATGCCCAGGCTCGAGTGGGGTGGAGAACACAGAGCTTGTCAAGTCACCCAGGTGGGATGGGCTGGGCCAGCATGTAAGCAGGATGCCGGCCCCGGGGCCCCGGGGTGGGGGGTTCCCTTCGGTGTGGATCCTCCTCTAGCAGCGGGGTGGAGCCCATTGTCCCCTGGAGAAGGCCAAGAGGGTGGGCCTGGAAAGAGATGGTCCCCTTTTCTTCAAGGGCTTGGGGCTTCTTGGGGAGGAAAGTGGTGGGCTGTCTGAGGAGGGTCTAGCCTGGATCGGCCCTGAGGAGGGTCTAGCCTGGATCGGCCCTGAGGAGGGTCTAGCCTGGATCGGCCCTGAGGAGGGTCTAGCCTGGATCGGCCCTGAGCCTCTGCCCCTGCCCTGTCCCTGCAGTGAGTACCTGTTGATGCTGATGCCGCCCAGCCAGGAGGAGGAGAAGTGAGTAGAGGCGGTGGGATGCCCTCTCCCTTTTTGAATTAGCTGCCTCTAACCCATCCCCTCTGCTTTCCCCAGAGACAAGCCTGTGGCCCCCAGCAACGTCCTGTCCATGGCCCAGCTGCGCACGCTGCCCCTGGCCGATCAGATCAAGATCCTGATGAAGAACGGTGGGTGCCCACCCTCTGTCCTGCTGGGGCCCTTGTCCCAGTGGCTCCTGAGGAATGGACTCTGTGGGACAGTGAGGACCAAGGGGCAAGGCCAGAGGCCCCTGCTGGCCACAGGCTGCCTGGTTTTGCAGCTGCACCCTTGTCTAAAAAGATAATGCAGGATGGCAGTGCATCCAGCTGCCGCAGGCGGGCTCGGGGTCCCCGTGAATGCAGGACGGGAATGGGGCTCGGGATCCCGGTGAATGCAGGTGAGCTCGGGGTCCTCGTGAATGCAGGACGGCAGTGCAGCCGGCTCCCAGCAGGCGAGCTCGGGGTCCCAGTGAATGCAGGATGGTGGTGTAGCCGGCTGCCGCAGGCGGGCTTGGGGTCCCCGTGAAGGCAGGACGGCAGTGCAGCCAGCTCCCACAGGTGGGCTCGGGGTCCCCGTGAATGCAGGACGGGAATGCAGCCGGCTCCCGCAGGCGGGCTCAGGGTCCCGGTGAGTGCAGGACGGCGGTACAGCCGGCTCCCGCAGGCAGGATCAGGGTTCCCGTGCCATCCTTGCCACTTGCCTGCCATGCACTTGGGCAGGTCACTAACCTTTCTGAGGCTTTTTCTGTGAAAAGAGACTAATGATAGTTCCTGGGATCAATGTGAGGACTCAGAGAGAGGAGGCTTGTATAGGGCTTAATACAGAGCCCTGTATGTCAGCGTGGACTAGGGGCTTTTTTTTTTTTTTTTTTTTTTTTTTTTTAAGAGACATAGGGTTTTGCTCTGTAACTCCATGGGGTAAGTCATCCTCCTGCCCAGCCTCCCGAGTGGCTGCGACTGTAAGCAGGCACCACTGCGCTGGTAAACAAGGGTCATTTTCATGACTGTCTTCACTGGTACTGCTTCTGGGTACCCTCACCAGACCTGGCATTAGAGGGACTGGTCTCCTTTTCTCAACGGACTCTGAGGGCCAGAATCTTTAGGGTACCTGTGGCTGGTGAACAGCAGACTTGAGCCTTGAGCTCATCATGGAGCCCCAGAACCTGGGCTCCTCCTTTGAGATACCACCATGAACTCTTGGGAGTCGAAGGAGAGAGAGGGGAGCTCCCTGATATGCCTGGGACTGCAGTTGCCTTCTTGCAGAAGACTTTGGGCTTTTTTTTTTTTTTTTTTTTTTTTTGAGACAGTCTTGCTCAGGCTGGGGTACAGTGGCACAATCTGTTCATTGCAACCTCTGCCTTCCGGATTCAAGCAGTTCTTATGCCTCAGCCTCCCAAGTAGCTGGAACTACAAGCGCGCCACCAGGCCCAGCTAATTTTTGTACTTTTAGTAGAGATGGGGTTTTGCCCTGTTGGCCAGGCTAATCTCAAACTTCTGGCCTCAAGTGATTTGTCTGCCTCGGCCTCCCGAAGTGCTGTGATGACAGGCGTGAGCCACCGCGCCCTTCCAAATTTTGGACTTTCCCTGGGCCCTGTCCATGGCTCACTTGGTGGGAGTTGAGGTCGGCAGAGCACAATGATTGTGGGTGTCAACTGGAACCAGGTGGCTTGGGTTCACTTCCTGGCTCTGCCACTTCCTAGCCGAGAGATCATGGGTGAGTTTTGGAGTCTTTCTAGGTCTGAGTAGTAATAGACTCTTCCTCTTCTGTCAAACCCCTCAATCTTGCTCAAGGGGCACTTCCTCATAGAATGCTCAGAAGGATATCATGAGGTGCCCAGTGCCCGCCGGGCCTGCAGTGAGCAGCCTGTGAGTGTCAGCTGTGGGCTGTGATGGATGTCATTACTGTTAGTTACCACGTTCTGGGGGTATTACATGAGCTTGAAGCTATACAGACTCTTGGTGGAAGGGAAGGAAGGGCCGGCCGCCTTCTTTGTCTGATGTCTCCTGCTTCCTCCTCAGTGAAGGTCATGCCTTTTGCCAACTTGATGAGCCTCCTGGGCCCCTCCATCGATTCTGTGGCTGTTCTGCGGGGCATCCAGAAGGTGGCGATGTTGGTCCAAGGGAACTGGGTTGTGAAGAGGTGAGTTGTGGTTTTTTGTTTGTTTTTTGTTTTTTCTTAAGGCAGAGTTTTGCTCCTGTTGCCCAGGCTGGAGTGCAGTGGCACGATCTTGGCTCACTGCAACCTCTGCCTCCGAGGTTCAAGCGATTCTCCTGCCTCAGCCTCCTGAGTAGTTGGGATTATAGGTGCGCACCACCATGCCCAGCTAGTTTTTGTATTTTTAGTAGAGACAGGATTTCACTATGTTGGCCAGGCTGGTCTCAAATCCTGACCTCAAGTGATCCACCCACCGCAACCTCCCAAAGTGTTGGGATTACAGGCGTGAGCCACTGCACCCGGCCTGTGCTGTATTCTCTTAATGGGAGCATTGGTTCCTTTTAAATTTAATGCAGTTACTGGTGCTTTGGGTTTAAATCTACAGTGCTATTTGTCCTGCCTACATTGCATTTAAACGTTTTTTAAATTGACACATAATATACATATTTATGGGGGGCAGTGTGAAATCTCAATATGTGTATACGATATCATGATCAAATTAGGGCAATTAACATATCACCTCAAACATTTCTCATTTCTTTGTGTTGAGCACATTCAAACTTCACTTTTCTAGCTATTTGAAAATATACAATAGAGTGTTCTTAATTATAATCACCCGATAGTACCCTTTGTCCTGCCTACATTGGATTTTTATATCGTTCTTACCATCTGCTGGATTCATTTCTGTTTTTTTTTCCCTGCTAACTTGGAAGGCTCATATAGTGATTACCCTCCAGTTTTTAGTTTGCATTCATGCCTTAATACATTTTAATGTTAACTGCTGCTTTTCACCCTGTTCCAAACTATTCAGAGATCTTAGAGTTCATGTCTGTCCTCCTTTCTACTTATATGCTGCTGGATTGGGGGGTGTGTGTGTGTGTGTGAGTGTATTTTTAATTTGCCAATCTTCTCTATCGTTCCAATTTTAGTATATGTGCTGCCAAAGACTGCATATGATTGGTGTGTTTTATTTATTTTTTATTTTTTTATTTTGAGACAGGGTCTCACTCTGTCGCCCGGGCTGGAGTGCCAATGGTGCCATCTTGGCTCACTGCAAACTCTGCCTTGTGGGCCCAAGCAGTTCTCCTGCCTCAGCCTTCCAAGTAGCTGGGGTTACAGGTGCCCACCACCACGCCCGGCTAATTTTTATATTTTTAGTTGAGGTAGGGGTTTTGCTGTGTCGACCAGGCTGGTCTCCAACATCTGACCTCAGGTGATGCACCTGCCTTGGCCTTCCAAAGTGCTGGGATTACAGGCGTGAACCACCGCGCCTGGCCAGATATATTTTAATTCTCTGTATTTTCAACCCTGTAAGACATTACTGTATTCAGTCAGTCATAAGCTTTACTCACGTGTTTATAATTTAGTTATCATTCCTTTCTGCATCTCTGAGTTTCTATCTGGGATCATTTCCTTCTGTCTAAAGAATGCTGTAGTATTTCTTTGAATGTGGGTCTGCTGATGATGCATTTCCTTGGTTTGTGTGTATTTGGAAATGTCTGTTTCACCTTTGTTCTATAATTCTAGATTGGAGGTGATTTTTGTTTCCACACATTGATACAGTTTTGTTGTATTCTGATTTAATTGCTTCTCTTGGCAGTTTTGTTCTTATTAAAGCCTTTGAAGGCAGTCTACCTTTGCTTTCCTCTGGCTGCTTTTGGGAATTCCTCTTTGTTTTTGGCTTTCTATGGGTTTATTCATATGTGTCCAAGGGTAAAATTTTTTTTATTTTTGAGACTGAATCTCGCTCTGTCACCCAGGCTGGAGGGCAGTGGCACAAACTGCAACATCCGCCTCCCGGGTTCAGGTGATTCTCCTGCCTCAGCCTCCCGAGTAGCTGGGATTACAGGCGCCTGCCACCATGCCCGGCTAATTTATGTATTTTTAGTAGAGATGAGGTTTCACCATGTTGGCCAGGCTGGTCTTGAACTCCTGACCTCAGGTGACCCACCCGCCTCGGCCTCCCAAAGTGCTGGGATTACAGGTGTGAGCCACTGTGCCCAGCCCCAAGGGTGAGTTTTTTACATACTGTGCTGGGGATCACAGGTCTTGAGTGTGTGGCTTGACGCCTTTCAGTAGTTTCTTTTCTCCTGTGAATCCTCCCCTAGACCCATCTCCTGCCTCCACTAGACCATCAGTTTCAAAAGATTGAGGATGTCTGTTTTGACTCCCACTTTATGTCCCCAGTACTCAGGAAAATGCCTGGATATTAGCAATGCAGACCCTTGGTAAATAATGTGGCTATGTTTTGCTTGAATTATATTAATTCTAAATGGTGTAGTATAAACTACGTTAATAACTCACTTAAGGTGAGCAATGTGACAAAATGTGAAATGCTGCTCATTTAAAAAAAAATACAATGCCAAAAGCTGCTCAGTCGTGGATTATATTTGTGTTACGGCCACGTGGTGGCGCCCTTGCACTGCGCCACAGATGCCCAGCGCACTTTGTCAGCGCCTTGGGGCTGTCCTGTGTTACCTGGTTTTCGTCACGGAAGGCTTTTGCAGTGGTACATCACATGTTACATGGGACCACCTGTGTATATTTATATCATGAAAGGATGAAAGCCAGAGGGTTCCTACTGTCACACACCTGAGGACACTGGCCCAGAGAGGCATGGGACTTGCCAAAAGTCTTGCAGCAAGGCAGCTGCAGAGCCCGGTTAGAACCCAACCCTCATGGCTTAGCCCTGGGCTCTGCACCCAGTATGGCATGTGTTCCCTGAAGGTGCTGCCTCTTTTAGTTACACCGTGTCCTAGGGACTGGAAGGTAGGAAGTCGGGGACAGTGGGCATTCTGTTCCGGTACCTCTGACCCCCGCTCTGCTGCTGCCCACACTGCCGCTTCGGGGACCCCTGAGTGAGGGTCCTCTGTGTCCCTGTGAGGAGACAACACAAAATCCATGCCTTCTTTTAGTCACTGTGGCCAGACTGCTCGTTCTGTGCTGTGGACGGGACTCTCATTTATACACTGCCCTTGAGGACGGGGCTGTTACAGTTGAGTTCCCTGAATGCAGAGGTCATGGACCAGCCTGGTTATGTCAGCACACACTTAAGAGGTACCTTCACTGTGGTGGCAGCGATGAGCCACGTTGGCAGAGTCTCTGTCCCTAGAGAGTGTGGCCTTGCAGGATAAGCGACAGTTGGCTGCCAGGTGGACCTGAGCCAGGGGCAAGGGGAGGGGCTGCAGCAGAGGGAGCGGCAGTCAGAACACACGCGGCCGGGGCTGACCTGGGCTGCAGGGCCTGCGGCTGGAGCTAGGTCAGGGCTACACTCGGAGAGTCTCGTGCCCTGCTGTTAGACCCCGGCCTTTCCCCTGAAGCTCCCTGAGCCTTGAGTGCTGGGCCTCTTCTCTCTCAGGAATAACATGCCTCCCCTGCCTCTGGCCTCGGTTCATACCTACTCTTCAGCAGGTGGCTAAGAGCTTGCGGATGGCTTCATCCCCTTTTCTCTTGGTGCCCTGCACAGGGTCCAGTTGTCTTTCAGAGTCGTGGGGTCCTTGAGGTCCCAGGCTGTTTCTCGCCTTGTCTGTCTCTGAGCCCGTGACCTCTCCCCGAACGTGCAGGGGCTTAAGATGAGGCTAGTATGCATGGTGGGTTGAGGGGTAATAAGAGGAAGAACTCTTGCGGGGCTGTGTGGGGTAGGGGGGTGCTTCTTTCCCGTGTCTGTGTTCACGGATGTGGCTCCTGAGGGGAGCTCTCAGGGCTCAGACCAGTACTCAGCCCACGTTGGAAAGAGGCATAGGCTGGGGCTCAGCCTGGAGGGGCAGCAGTAAAGGGGGCTCAGGACAGGGACTGACCCACCACCCTCACCTGCATTGGCAGTGACATCCTGTACCCCAAGGACTCATCTAGCCCTCACAGCGGCGTGCCCGCCGAGGTGCTCTGCAGGGGCCGAGACTTCGTTGTAAGTACCTTGGGTTCTCTGGACCCACGGCAGGGTGTGGGAGAGCGGGGCGGCGACGCACAGTTTCTGAGAGGAGCCCGGAGCTCCCTTATGGGGGAGAAAAGGAGGGAGGCACAGAGCTGAAGGGACTGTCTGAGGCCACACTGCTGGGAGGAGCCCAGGTCTGTCCCAGGCTCTGGCTTCCAGGCCCGCCAGGTGAGTTGCGCGGACAGTCGTGGGAGCAGTCCGTGGCTGCCGCTGGAATGCGCTGCTTCTTCTCCCTCAGATGTGGAAGTTCACGCAGAGCCGCTGGGTGGTTAGGAAGGAGGTGGCAACAGTGACCAAAGTAAGTGTCTTTGTGGTCTGAGGCCCAGGCTGCTGCTGGAGGGGAGGGGGCCTGGCTGTGCCTCACCTCAGGCCCTCTCCCCTCCAGCTCTGCGCCGAGGACGTGAAGGACTTCCTGGAGCACATGGCCGTGGTGAGGATCAACAAAGGCTGGGAGTTCATTCTGCCTTATGACGGGGAGTTCATCAAAAAGCACCCGGATGTGGTCCAGCGGCAGCACATGCTGTGGACGGGTATCCAGGCCAAGTAAGCGCCTGCGGCCAGGGAGGGGCAGCCCGGTGGTTCCGGCAACCCCGAGTCTTAGGGGAGCACCGTCAGGGCAGATCCGGGCGGTTTCCAGCAACCCTGCGTCCTAGGAGAGCACTATCGGGGCGGTTCCAGGTGCTGTCCAGCAACCCCGAGTCCAGGGGCGGAGAACTGTCAGGGCCAATCTGGGCAGTCTCTGGAAACCCCACATCTGGGGGAAGTGCAGTTGGGCTGGATCTGGGTATGAAGGGCAGGTGGGGGTCCGCAGGCAGCACGCTCTCCCCACACTCAGTAATTGTTGCTGGCTGATCCCGCCGGCCTTTCAGTGCAGGACTTACAGCCAGTACCCACTCATCAGGGAGGTCGTGCTCAAAGGGCTCAGGGAAGAGGGATGTGATGGAGACAGGATCACTCAGGAGCAAGAGCAGGGGCCTGAGGGTTGGGGATGGGGTGCGGGAGGGGAACGTTGCCAGGAGACTGACAGTTCAGGGTGATGTGCACTGCCAGAAGGGGGACCCAGGGGAGCTGGCCAAGCTCCAAGACTGCGCTGTCCTAACGAGCGCGTCCTGGGCCCTAGGGGTTGGGTGTTTCTCTTGTGAAGCAGATGGTAGGAACATGGTTTAAAGTTAACGGGGTTACTCTTCTTTTCAGACTGGAAAAAGTCTATAATCTTGTAAAGGAAACCATGCCAAAGAAGCCGGATGCACAATCAGGTGTGTGAGGGGCTTTGGGCTGGGTGGCCCCGGCTCCTTACCCTGTGGCTCTGGAGGGGCTGCTGTTCTAGAGCTTGTCAGGCCGGGACCTGGAAAGGGTGGAGGGCTCTCACCGCTCACCCCTTACCCTCCTTCCTTTCCTGCCGCCCACAGACCGCAGCTAGTCGCTTGCCCAGCAGCAAAGCCTCAGGGAAGGAGGCTTGCGGATTCCAGGGCCGGGTCTGGGTGCCAGACCCATTGGGTCAACAGAAGCAGCCGGGAGGAGCTGCTGGGGGGAACTTGGTGGCACCCATTTCCGCATCCATCCCTGGCACTTGGGGACATAGGGACAGTTCTCATTCTTCCACTGATGGGTGACTGATTTCCGAGAAAGGTTGGGGATGAGACCAGGATGGGGCTGCTTGCTTCAGCCCCACTGTCCCCTGCAGGGCCTGCCGGGCTGGTCTCTGGGGACCAGCGGATCCAAGTAGCCAAAACCAAGGCCCAGCAGAACCACGTGTTGCTGGAGCGGGAGCTGCAACGGCGGAAGGAGCAGCTGCGGGCGCCTGCGGTCCCGCCTGGTGTGCGGATCAAGGAGGAGCCAGTGAGCGAGGAGGGCGAGGACAACGACGACGAGGAGGAGGAGCCCATGGACACTTCCCCCAGCGGTGGCCTCCACAGTAGGCTGGCCAACGGGCTGCCTCCTGGGCGGGCTGTGGGCACGGACAGCTTCAACGGGCATCCGCCCCCGGGCTGTGCTAGCACCCCCGTGGCCCGGGAACTGAGGGCCTTTGTGGAGGCCACCTTTCAGAGACAGTTTGTGCTCACGCTGAGCGAACTCAAGCGCCTCTTCAACCTGCACTTAGCCAGCCTGCCCCCTGGCCACACGCTCTTCAGCGGCATCTCGGACCGCATGCTGCAGGACACGGTGCTGGCCGCTGGTTGCAAGCAGATACTGGTGCCTGTAAGTAGAGCCCGGCCAGGCCTGGCGGATAAAGGAGGCTGTCCGCAGCCCCTCGGGAGGGCACCTGCGCATAAAGGAGCCATGGGGAGATGTCTGCTCAGCTGGTGAAGGCCCTGAGCCCTGCCTGTGGGGGAGGGGGCGAATAGGGGGAACCAGCTGTTGGGAGGCCACGTGGGGATACGGGAGGCTGTTCTTGGTGAGCATCTGCTCTCATGTGGACTTAGATGTGACACAGGCAAGTCAGCCTTTCTCTGGTTCTATCCTCAGAAAGTGGGATCGTGTTGGGTTTTGTCATAGAACTGAGGTAGGGGCTAAATACGGTGTCTGAAGGCCCGGCCTGTCGCAGGGCTTATTGAAAGCAGGTCCCCTACCTGGTTTCTCACCCCGCCTCCCCCCACCAAGAGCACGTGGCCTTTTCCTGCTAGCTTTGCTGTTGTAATGATTTGACTTCTAAGGTCATTTGATGTTTGCAATCTGCAGATGAAGAAACAGGCTCCAAGGAGTGAAATGAACATTTAAAGGTCTCTACCTAGGAGGTAGTGGAGCTGGAATCTGGACCTCAGTGTAGTGGCCCTGAGTTTTGAATGCTTTCTGCTAAGATGAGCTGAGTGCTTCCCCACAGCTGCGCCAGTGCTGCAGTTTCCGCCTGGGTCCCGGGGGCCTCCCTGTGCGTCAGAAGCAAGCTGACTAGCACAGTGCTGTGCTCTCAGCACTTGCAGTGCCAGGCCTTGAGTGTGGTATAGCGAGCCCCCTGCCCCCGCTCTTCTGTCACTGGGAGGGGGAGCAGTGGAGTACGTGCCGGGGCCTGTTTCCTGCGCTGAGGATGGAGCACACCAGGTGCAGCTTGAGGGATGCGTTTTTGGTACTACTTTGCTGCAAGGCTCAGCCCAGACCTGGCAGCAAAATGGGGTGAGGTGGGGCTGTGGCAGTCTCTAAGAGTATTGATGCTTGCATTGCCAAGGTCAGGAGTGCTTGCAGCCTTGGGTAATGATCTGAGGCCAAGGCCCATCCGCATATACGAGGAAAAGAAACTAGGACGGGAGGCCCTGTGGAGCCCAGGCTGTCTCAGGGGATCGGCCTTGCTGGCAGGCAGCCCCCTGGGTGAGGCCTTCTGCGGGAAGTACTGGCAGGATTTGGGGCTCTTACCCACTCAGCATATGGGTCTGGGTCTCCACACGCTCACCTTTCTTCATGAGTTGGGCCAGGCCAGGGAGGGTGTCTGCCTGACATTAGCGAAGTTGTTCTGGGTTGCTAGAGTAGACCCACGTTCCTGGAACATGGGAGGGGTGAGGCAAGCAAGTGGATCCATGGAGTAGAGACAGACAAGCAACTCACACCTGGGCCTTGCTCAGTTTCCCCCACAGACTGCTGCTTCCCCGGATGAGCAGAAAGTGTTTGCCCTCTGGGAGTCTGGAGATATGAGCGATCAGGTAAGGTGATCTTCACTGCCATCTTCCCCAAGAGTAGGGGGGTTTCTTGCAGGGTTGGAGGCCTCGGGGGACATGAGGGCCTGATGTGCAGCCACACATTTCAGATTTTCTGGCACACTTCGTTTTAAATGCTCTGCTACAAGTCTGTACTCCGACAGAATAAGCTGTACGTGCCAATAGTTTGAACCTAAACTAGTGGTTCCCAGATGCCAGTCTATGGCCCAACTCCAACAGAATCATCTTTTAAAAAATACAGGCTGGGCACAGCAGCTCATGCCTGTAATCCCAGTACGTTGGGAGGCAGAGGCAGGCAGATCACCTGAGGTCAGGAGTTTGAGACCAGCCTGGCCAACATGGTGAAATCCCTTCTCTACTAAAACTACCAAACAAAAACAATTAGCTGGGCGTGGTGGTGTGCACCTGTAATCCCAGCTACTCAGGACGCTGAGACAGAATTGCTTGAACCCAGAAGGTGGAGATTGCAGTGAGCCGAGATCGCACCACTGCACTCCAACCTGGTGATAGAGCAAGACTCCATCTCAAAAAAAAAACAAAAACAAAAAAATGCCAGTTGGTTTGACCTTGTCTAGGTCCTGCTACTAAGGTGTGAGTGAGCAGAAGTCCTGCTGAGCTCTCTGTCCCCAGCTGCCTCTTAAGGGGAGCCAGCTGGCAGGGTGAGGATCTAAAGGGCTGGGGCCTTTTCCTGAACAAGCTTGGGTGCTTTTGGCCAGAACAGAGGGCATCTAAAGTACTTTGATAACCAAAAGGAAAAAAGTAAATGCAGATTTTTTAAAAATCAAAAGTTTTTTCCCTGACAACTGCTAACAAAAAAAGTAAAAATAAAAAGTGTTAATAGGAAAGCTCTTGCACTGCCTGAACTGACTGCCATCCCTAGAGGTGACCACTTTTATGACTACCTTTTTTTTAATGGAAACAGGGTCTCACTATGTTGGCTAGGCTAGTCTTTAACTCCTGGCTTCAAGCGGTTCTCCTTCCTTGGTCTCCCAAAGTGCTGGGATCACAGGCATTTAAATCACCAAAAGATACCACTAAAAGAGCTGCCCCATCTTTTAAAAAAATCAGCTTGTTGTTAGCAATGGGCCTCCCACTGTCAATGAGATTTAGCTCTCAACTATTTTAGGAGAACGTAGAGATGTAAAGATAATTTGTGCCAATTTTTTTTTTTTTTTTTTTGAGACGGAGTTTCGCTCTTGTTACCCAGGCTGGAGTGCAATGGCGCGATCTCGGCTCACCGCAACCTCCACTTCCTGGGTTCAGGCAATTCTCCTGCCTCAGCCTCCTGAGTAGCTGGGATTACAGGCACGCGCCACCATGCCCAGCTAATTTTTTTGTATTTTTTAGTAGAGACGGGGTTTCACCATGTTGACCAGGATGGTCTTGATTTCTTGACCTCATGATCCACCCGCCTCGGCCTTCCAAAGTGCTGGGATTACAGGCTTGAGCCACCGTGCCCGGCTGCCAATTTTTTTTTTTTTTTGAGACAGCATCTGGCTCTTGCTCTGTCACCCAGGCTGGAGTGCAGAGGTGACGTCTCAGCTCACACCTCCTGGGTTCAAGCGATTGTTAGGTGTCAGCCACCCAAGTAGCTGGGGTTACAGGCTTGTGCTGCCACACCCAGCTAATTTTTGTATATTTAGTAGAGATGGGGTCTCACCAGTGTTGGCGAGGCTGGTCTTTACACCTATTTTTTAGTTTAATTGGCTATTGTTTATGTATGGCATTGTCATGGAATGAATTGCAAATCTGTTCATTTTAAGGCCAATCATCAGTAATATACAATGATTGCATTTCCTCATTCACTACTTCCTGTTTTCACTTGTGTAATGTTCTGAACACGTGCGTACCAAGGGTGATAACTTTGCTTAATTAAGCTAGTTCCCTGGAAGCTTCTGCAGCGAGACTGGCTTTTCCCCATGTCTGTTGCTGAATTCTAGAATCTCTGCTTCTTCCTTCCGAATCTCTGCTTCTTCCTTCCTTTAGCTTCTAAAGAGAGGAGTTGTCTGCATTCTTTCATGTCTTAAACTGGCTTTCTTTTAACCCCCATGTATTACTATTTGGGCCTAAAATTTTAAGAGGTAAATTATTTGCCTCTTAAAATTCTAGGCCCAGACAAACAGTAATACATGAAACATCTTTAAGAGAGTTGTCCATTGTTTAAGTTTTCAGAGTTGGTCTTTTAAATTTAGCCTGTATTCTTTCCTTTATCCCAAACTGAGGAAGTTGTCATTATTCTGTATATCAGTGCAATTTCAGATGTGCCCTGTTGTGGGTCATTATTGTACTAGACAATTGAGTTCTTACAAAATCCTGTTTTTTTTTTTTTTCCAGAATTCTTATGACAGATATTAGACATAGTGAATTCAATCTTTTGTATTTAATTTTTATTTTGGGGTGTAATATATTTTACAGCATCCTGTTTCAGGGATGCATGGCATGTTTGTGCATTTTCACACCAGTTTTGACACTCTTCTCATCTCTGTGCAGCTTACATTGTGGCTTCCCCTGCCTGCTAAGTGAAATTCACTCCTGCATTTTCCCATTCAGAAATCTGTTCAAGCCACTCATCCTCTCATGTCTTTTCACCAGTTCTTTTGTTATGCTGGCATATACCTTTATTTTTATTTATATTCAAGTTTCCACACACAGCATTACTGCCTTTATTTCTGTACACTGGCATGCTGGTTCTCTACAGATGACTTGGCTCATCTTTAACCAGAAGTGCTGGGTAAGGGTTTTTATCAGAGACTGCAACACAAAGTTACGTGCATGGCTTGGGTGTCTTGCTCAGGGATGTTTCTCTTTTTAGATCACTGTTTCCCATAATAACATGTTTTTGCTACTAAAGCATCGACAGGTTTTGCTTGAAATTTTTTCCAAAAATTACCGAGTACGCCGAAACATGATCCAGTCTCGGTTGACTCAAGAGTGTGGAGAAGATCTCAGTAAACAGGAGGTGGATAAAGTACTGAAGGTACATTCGTTTTGTGCATAACAAACAATATCAAAGGCTCCGCAAGGGGCTGACAGCCTGTAGAAAGGACTCGAGTGTCTGTGTGTATATGAAATCAGGCTTTCCTGGGACCTCTCCCCAGACAGTCTTGTCTTCAGTAGCTGTTAATGATTGGCATTGGTGGGAAGTAGGGGGTATGTGCAAGAGGACTGACTCCTTCAACCAATATAGTCACAGGGGAAGGAATAGAGCCATGAGTGCTTAGTTCCTCTTTCTGGTTGGGCCAGTAAGGCCCCTTTCTCATCCCTCTCTTCTGCTTATCACTAGAGATAAAAACTAAAAACCATGGGTTCAGGCTGCGAAAATAAAATAGAACAACAAAATAAGGTGGGTTGGCAGGGCCTAGCTGAAAATCCTCACTCCACTCCCCCTTGAATTTTGGATGACTATTCTGATTGTTGCCATAGCCATATATATGACTTTCAGTAGAATCCATTTTTAAATTTAGTTTAAAAAGGAATATCATGTTTACTATATGAAAACACCTAATGTACAACCTATAATGCTTTTCTGAACTGAGTGTAGTACAAACACCATATTTGCAGCAACACTGAGACACAGAAAACTGATGACAATGTCTTTATGTTTTGATCTGTTTTTTAAGCACCCTGTTCTGGGCATGTCAAGTATTTGTATTTTGTAGGCCCTCACTCTTTTTTTTCTTTTTTTGAGATGGAGTTTCACTCTTGTTAGCCAGGCTGGAGTGCAATGGCGCGATCTCGGCTCACCGCAACCTCCGCCTCCTGGGCTCAGGCAATTCTCCTGCCTCAGCCTCCTGAGTAGCTGGGATTACAGGCACGCGCCACCATGCCCAGCTAATTTTTTGTATTTTTAGTAGAGACGGGGTTTCACCATCTTGGCGAGGATGGTCTCGATCTCTTGACCTCGTGATCCACCCGCCTCAGCCTCCCAAAGTGCTGGGATTATAGGCTTGAGCCACCGCGCCCGGCCAGGCCCTCACTCTTAAAATACCCCTGAGAGGCTGGTAGTAACCATGGTGGTGTGGTTAGGCAGTTTTTGATTTCCCATTTGTATTCTATTCACTAATCATTAATCAAGTGTTGATACTGTGGACAGACTGTAGTTAACTCCCTTTCCTGCAAAAATCTGCACTTACTCTGTTTCTCTACTCATAGGACTGCTGTGTAAGCTATGGTGGCATGTGGTACCTTAAAGGGACAGTACAGTCTTGACAGTAGTAGCAAACCACTAATGCAGCAAATCCAAGCCCAAGGAAGAAGGGCGGAACCAGTAGAGCCTCGACTTGCTTCAGACAACAGAGCAAGAGGAACTGACCATCTCATGTGCAGTGGACAGAAGGGATCATCCTCAGCCAGTGGCAGGCTCGGTTAGATCACTCCTGGAAGAGACCAGCTGGGACCTTCTTTGCAGTACAATTTGAAATTCCTGATGTATTTTGCTTATTACTTGGTTTCATTCTCATAATAAAGAGAGTGTATACTGACATGGGCAGGATGATAAAAATCATGGTTTAAGATTTTTTTTTTGGTAAACTTAATGCCAACAAGGTCTAAGTTATGTTTACAACATGAAGAAAACCTCAAACGTTTTTAATTTTTAAAATGCCTAGAAGACAATATTTAGTCTTGGATTATCTAAGACCTCCACTGATTTCATTAGACCAAATTGAATTGCTCTACTGTTGGGATTCTGTGGCCACTTTACCTTTGACAACAACCTACTTTATGTAGCAGTCTCAACTGTTTACACGAACCATAGCAAAAAAAAATTAGAATCAAATCCATCTCCTCTTAATGTTTGCAGAAAGATGCAAACAAAACCAGGTAAGTATGGAACAATGTGTAAGTGAGGTTATCACACTTTGATGTAAAAATTTCTATTTTGTGTATTTTTAAAATAAATGCTAACACTAAACTAGCATCATGGTGCTGTCTTCAAATGGTTACAGGAGGGCGATCTTGGACTCAAGCGTTACATGGATCTAGAGGGAATGGAGCCAGTGGAGGGACACAGAGCAGCACTGTCCACTAGGAATGGGCAAGTCACGCAATTCTTAAAGTTTCTAGCAGCCACGTTAAAATAGTTTAAAAAGGTTATATTTTAGCATATTAGCCCCAAATATTGTACGTTTTTTTGTACCAAGTCTTCAAAATCTGGCATTTTACACTTTCCTCAACACTCTCAATTCGTATAAGGTTCAGCCTTACAGGGTCCCGTGAGTCCCTCTCTGCTGGTGCGGAGACGAGAACCTGGAAATAAAAGACACAAGACATCAAGAGAAAACATTTGGGCCCAGGGGTCCACTGCCAACCAAAGTGCAGAATCTAGCAGTGGCCCCAAGTGCCTGTACGCTCTTTTATTTTAGTACAAAGCAGGGGGAAGGGCAGATAGGATGAGGTAATGGTGGTCAGTGACAGGTTCAGGTATATAACGCGTCTTGGAGACGGGCTTAAGACTTTGAAGAAGCTTAGGCAAGGAGAAAACCTAAGACGTCAGCACTTTTTTCATACTTGTCAAGAAATAAGGTCACTAAGATTTATGTTACTAACTCTTACCTTCTAAGTAAAAGAGGAACCAGGTGCAGAAGCAGAACTTGCATGTAGACATGGAATGTGACCACTGAAGCTTAACACCACGTAGAGACAAGGCCCCGGATGTCTGTGGGCCTTCCTGACAGTCATCAGGCTTACCAGAAGGGCGGAGTTTTCTCCTCACTGCCCCAAGGTAGGAGATGTCTCAGCCATTTTGGACATCTCCTTCCCTAGCTGGCTGAACAGCAAGCGCTTTCACAGCGCTGACACTGTCACATGCCGAAGGCGTCCTCCAGCAGCCCTTATGCGGATGTGACAGAGGACTTACAGCATCTTGCCTTAGGGTCACCTCTTTTTCCAATGCCACTTCAGTCCCATACTTCTTGACCTGAGACTTATTAGTAAGATTAAAGAGCCGGGCGCAGTGGCTCACGCCTGTAATCCCAGCACTTTGGGAGGTGGATCACGAGGTCAAGAGATCGAGACCATCCTGGTCAACACGGTGAAACCCCGTCTCTACTAAAAATACAAAAATTAGCTGGGCATGGTGGCGCGTGCCTGTAGTCCCTGCTAGTAGGGACGCTGAAGCAGGAGAATTGCCTGAACCCAGGAGGCAGAGGTTGCGGTGAGCTGAGATCACGCCATTGCACTCCAGCCTGGGTAACAAGAGTGAAACTCCGTCTCAAAAAAAAAAAAAAAGATTAAAGATTATATGATTATATAGATGTATATAGTTATGATTACATATCAATAGCTATGTGATTTATATTTAGGAATAACTAAGTATCTAATTTGTTTCTAATTCTTTGTTTACATGAGAATATGCTGAGGCTTCAGGCCCTTGCCTCAGCTCTTGCGGGGCTCCCCCCCACCCCAATTTGGACTAGCCACAACGTAAGTGCTCAGATGCCACATGTGGCTATTGGCGACAGTATTGTATAGCACAGCCCTAGAGACTGATGGAAAAAATGAGTAAGCTAGGTTGGGTAAGATGTGAATTTTGATATATAATGAAGGCTTTTGCTATCTTTTTTGTACAACACAGCCACTAATTATCTGAAGGTTTAAATGACAGTCTATGCTATTTTCCCATTCCCTCCAAAATAAAACATCAATATTTTAGCTATAGAATCAGTAAGGTGGCCAGGCGCGGTGGCTCATGCCTGTAATCCCCACACTTTTGGGGAGGCTGAGGCAGGTAGATCACCTGAGGTCAGGAGTTCGAGACCAAGCTGACCAAAATGGAGACACCTCATCTCTATTTAAAAAAAAAAATTAGCTGGGTGTGGTGGCACATGCCTGTAATCCCAGCTACTTGGGAGGCTGAGGTAGGAGAATTGCTTGAACCTGGGAGGCAGAGGTTGCAGTGAGCCAAGATCACGCCATTGCACTCCAGCCTGGGCAACAAGAGTGAAACTCCATCTCGTGAAAAGAATCACTAAGGCATTGATCAAGGATTTACTTTGCCAAATAAGTATTTGGTAACATAGCTTAACAGGCTGATCGTATATTTTGCTCTTGATTCTAATTTTTTTTTTTTTTTTTTTTTTTTTTTTGAGACGGAGTTTCGCTCTTGTTGCCCAGGCTGGAGTGCAATGGCGCGATCTCGGCTCACCGCAACCTCCGCCTCCCGGGTTCAGGCAATTCTCCTGCCTCAGCCTCCTGAGTAGCTGGGATTACAGGCATGTGCCACCATGCCCAGCTAATTTTTTGTATTTTTAGTAGAGACGGGGTTTCACCATGTTGACCAGGATGGTCTCGATCTCTCGACCTCGTGATCCACCCGCCTCGGCCTCCCAAAGTGCTGGGATTACAGGCTTGAGCCACCGCGCCTGGCCCGATTCTAATTGTTAACATACATAAACATGAAAAGTAAAGTTACCAAAAGCAATTTGGAACATGTCGCAGCTATTACATCCTAACCTTCCTTCTCGCTTTGAAAGGGGAAACGCTCATGTGGGATGGCACAGAACATGTCAGTCCTGTCACCTTGCAGAATTTAATTGGCTCAGTGGAGAAGTCAGAGCCTTAAATACTTAAATTGATAAAAGGAATTGATTAAAACACCAAACTCAAATAGCAAGAAAAAGAAACTTAAGGAATATAGTGGGGAACTACTGTTTTAAAAAAAACGGAGGGAACTTGGAATGTCAGCAAGATGGCAGGACTTTCCAGCACTCATCCCCCTGCAGAATCATCAATTTAAATAATATCCACACACAAAAATACCTTCACAAGAGCTAAGGAACCACGAGAGATTACAGTACCTCAGTGTACCACAGAAATAAGATGTATTGAAGAGGATAGGAAGGACAATTTACATTACCCAGCTTACCCCACTCCCCAACCCCAGGTGGCACAGGGTGGAGAGAGAGAACCTCCACTTGGAGGAAGGAAAGGAAAGTGAACATTGGACACCAAAATCATGCCAGGCCTCTACCCATGAGCTCACATTCTAGTAGACTACCCCTCCCCACCCCAGTCCAGCCCCATCTGAGTAAACCCCAGCACTGGGTTGGCTCTCATAGACCCAGGCTCTAGGCCAGCCCTCAGAGACCTAGCCTCCAGGCCAGTATCTATATACCCTAGCTCCAGGCTGGTCTATATGACCCTAGGCTAGCACCTACAATCCCAGGCTCCAGTACAATACCTGTGGACCCAAGCTACGTGCCTGCCTCAGCACCAGACTCCAGTGGACCCAGGGTCCAGGCACACACTTCAGTAAACCTCAATGCCAGGCAGGCCCTGGCAGACTGAGGCTCCAGAACAGTCCCAGTGGACCCAGGAACTGGGCCCACCCCTGCAGGTTCAGGCTTCAGGCTGTGGACCTAGGCTTCAGGTCACCTCCCTGGATGTAGGCTCCAAGCCTGCCCTTGTGACCCAGGCTCTGGTTATAGACCCTGCAGACCCAATCAGCTGGCCCACTCCACCGGACCTACGTTCCAGGATTAATCCTATGCATGCAAGCACCAGGCTCATCCATCTGCTGACCTAGGTACTAGGTCAGCCTGCCTAAGGACTCCAGCAGCAAGCCTGCCCACAGACCACACCAGACAACTTGCCCAGAATCTCTGAATGGGCTCACTGGTGAAGCGTTGTTCCAGGCAAAGCCAAACTGCAAAGATTAGAATCAATCCTTACACTTCACCAAATGTACAGGCATCAACATATGACCACAAAGATCAAGGTCAGGGAGACATGCTATCACCAAAGGAATGAAATAAAGCGCCAGAAATATACCCTAAGGAAATGGAGATTTATGAATTGGCTGACAATCCAAAACAGTTTTAAGGAAGCTCAGCAAACTTCAAGAAAATACATAGATTTAACTCAATAAAATCAAGAAAACCACCAAATCAAGAAATCTAACAGACTGAAGTTTATATATGTTTTACAAACCATTCCGAAGTTAAAAATACAATGAATGAAATGAAAATTGGAATAGTGAGCATCAAAAGAATTGATCAAGCAGAGAATCTATGAACTCAAAGACAGATTATTTGAAAATATAGCCAGAGGAACAAAAAGAATGAAAAGGAATGCAGAAATAGTATGGGATTTATGGGCAAGCATCAAAACAGCAAATATTTGAGTTACAGAAGTTTACTAAGGAGAAGAAAGAAATGAGGGGCTACAAAATAATGGCAGAAAACTTTCCAAATCTGGAGAAAGATATAAATATCCAGGTGCAGGAATGCCAAAGGTCTCTAATCAGATTCAGTATGAACAAGACTATACCATGACATAAGCAGATTGTCAAAAATCAAAAGACAAAGGGAAGACCCTAAAAGCAGCTAGATAAAACAAGCAGATCTCATATAAGGGAGTTCCAATAAGGCTACCACTTCTCAGCAGAAACCTTACAGGCCAGGAGAGAGTGGGATGATATATTTAGAGTGCTAAAGGGAAACCAATTGCCAACCACAAATACTTTATCCAGCAAAACTTCAGAAATGGAGAAAAAGACTATCCCAGACAGACAAAAGCTGAAGCAGTTAGTTCATCACCACCAGCTATATGTTTACAAAAAATGTGCAAGGGAGTTCTTCAAGCTGGTAGAAAAGGATGTTAATTAGTAACATGAAAACATATGAAAGTATAAAACTGGTAAAAGTACACTGTCAAATTCAGGAATACTCTAATATGGTAGTGGTGGCATGTACATCACTTTGGTATAAAGGTTAAAAGACAAAACTATTAATAGCTAATTTGTTAAGGGATACACAATATAAAATCTGTAAATTGCGACATCAAAACCAAAATGTGGGGTGGGGGTAGAATTAAAAATGTAGTTTTTAAAGCAATCAAAGTTTTCTGCTTAAAATGGTCTGTAATCACTGTTTTACATAAGCCTCATGATAACCACAAAGCAAAAACCTGTAGCAAATA